TACCCAGCTATTTTAGCTGTTCCATGGGAAGTAACTGATGAACTTCTAGTCGCATGTGCACCGCATCGCAGTCGCGGTCGGATACCTGTTTTAAGTTGGTTGCATCCTGAAAGCAAAGCAAGTCTAACCAGAGCAAGTCAACCTCTTGTTGGTGTCCAGGGCCGCCGCAGCTCCGACGATAAAGAACTTGTTCGTCAGCTCAGGATAGCCAATGCTAATGCAAATAACCTTTTGATATTTGATGCTCGTCCACAGGTAAGATGCCTGACTCGTGTTTATGTGTTAGTTCACATTAATTTTTTCATTTGGGTCACCATTTCACAAAAAAGTTACTTGTAGTTAGCGAACAGTGAACAGAAATTTACACATTCTCAGTTGGGTGAACAATGTTTTTCAGAATCTTCTAGTATCTACTAGACAGTTATAATAGCTCTGACCTATCGGCGTATCCGAATTCGGGCCTGATCACTACATGTACAGTCAGGACTACATTCTACTAACATGAGTTGGCTAATGATTAATTACACTGTCGTAAAAATAGAGTATTACGTTCTACGACCCGTTAAATATCACGTGACAAAATCACCAATGAGAACACTGGCTTGTATAACCTTGTATCTGTGCTAAACCGATGTGTTAACTGGCACGAGCAGCCTAGAATCAACACTGAGTCTTTATTGGTCCTGTGTATAATAACTTTTTACCAAGCCCAGCTCGTTCAGTTCGGAACACAAATATCAGCCTTCTCTGTATGAATCGTATATTCCAGACATACGTGGTTTATGTACAAGCAGATCAGACAGCATCATATCATGAAATGAAAAATAATAATTATAAAGGACCAGACCAAAAGTGACTGTGAGTATGGAATACTGTACCTAATAAATTAGGAATAAGTTAAGTCGGTCAGTCATTTACAACGTAGGACCAGACACATGCATGCATCGGTCCAAGTTGCCACACATTAATAGCACAACAAGACGAACACCGGATTCATAGAAGTATTTACTTTAATGGTAGTAATATACAAAAAAGAGTGAATATAAGGATATGATACTGGGAATTAGTTCATAGAAAGGAAGGTATAAAGTAGTTTTAATTTCACAGTTTAAGACTGGACAAAGTGTATACACCTACGCCATTGTGATCGGTTCTGAGCCATACCTTGTCAGAGTCTTCAATCAGTGGTTACGATAGTCGCGCTGACCCCAACCAAGTAGTTTGCACCTACCAACATGGCTCAGACCAGAAGTTCGTGACTTCAAGCACTGATGCCACTTTCAGTTTGGCCGCCCCTTTCTTCCAACCATCCCCAACACTACTCAGCATTGCGCGTCATGGTGATCGGTGTTCAGGCATACGCAACATGTGGTCCAACTATCTCAGTCGATGAAGATTCACAGCCTCATCAAATGATTTACCGTCATTACCTAATAACCTGCGTATAACCTCACATTTACTTACCCGGTGATCCCAGCAGATGCGAGCAATATTTCCAAGGCATCTGTGGTCCAATACTAGTAGCTTACGAGTATCTTCTCTTAATGGCCACGTTTCTCAGCCGTAAAGTAGAAGAGAACGAACTGCCGCCCAGTATATTCGTCCTCTAATTCATAGACGGATATCTCGCCTTCGCTGTAGGTGACGTAAGTTCGCAAAAGCCAAATGAGCCTTTCGAATCCGTGCTGAAATTTCGCCAGACACCAACCCATCAGGGCTGATCAGACTTCCAAGATAAGTGAAGTTGTCAACGCGTTTGACTACTTCACTCCCTACCCTTAGTTCAGGTGTTGACAACAATTCACATTTGGAGGGGGAGAAACGCATCCCAGACATCCTGGTATTGTTGCTCAGTACTACCAAAAGACTGCATTTTATCAGCGTCTTCACCAAACAGGACTATGTCATCTGCATATTCTAAATCGATATATGGGCCTCCCGGTGGATCAATTCCTGAAAATTCGGACGATAAGAACGTTATTTCAAGCACTAGGTCTATGATGAATTAAACATAAATATAGTAAATAACCTTGTCGGATATCACTCGAGGTTGCGGAATCAGATGACAATTCGCCATGAGCTCTGACTCGACTAGTGTTAGAGTAAAAGGCCTTCACAAGGTTCTATGTACTTCTGAGGTACGTCTTTTAATGACATACACTGCCACAAAACCTCTCGCTCTACAGAGTCAAATGCTGCTTTTAAGTCAAGGAAAACCATCATTGTCGGACGCTGATACGCATACCTTGTTCTAAGGCCTGACAAATGGCAAATGTGTGGTCGGTGCAGTTAAGACCAGGTCTGAAGCCAACCTGAATTTTTCGTGTTTTCAGTCCACGAGTCTTTGCTGATGTCCGATAATTATTGAGGCTTGTATTTCAGACGATATACTAGTCAAACTATTACCTCCATGGTTATCATAGGATGATTTTGATCCTTATATAGTGGAACAATTAGCGATTACTACCAGCCATATGGGACGACATCCAGTACCCAGATTTTAGCTAGAATATTACTCAACCTACACTAAAATCCTGTATGCGTGTTTCTAGACATGGCATTCATAAATGGTGCGGAATTCTAGAGTCTCAGCCAAGGAAACCTGCTGGTCAATTTTACATAGTATTCGTACGTTGAAGGCTCCAATGTGTAGTTCGAAACGAGGTTTTAGAACCTAGAACAGTACTTCGCGCAATAGGATCGTTGGTCATGGTGACACTTAAGGAGGAAGTTTAGAGTTATCACTTCCGGGCTGTTCACACCGTGGAAGGGTTCTAGAGGTACGTGAAAAGGAAATTGAGTTAGAGTTAATCTTAGTGATCTGAGAGCGTGACCACAATGCCAAAGGAACAACTGCTTGACGCCGGTCACACACTTTTTTGTAGGTAGTTTTACTGGTAGCTTCGCACTTTTTGAGACCTCACCCCACGAGCATCCGTGGGCTAAGGCGAGGTATGCATTCTTAGGGTCGACCTTTTCTAACTCCATCCTTTCTTTGTAGAAAGGTTGCATCGCTGTCATGCTGGTTGTCTGACGGAGACACCTTAATGCCGTCACACTCCTCTATAATCAGCAGTACGACTTCACTCTTGAACCTTGAGTTTGCTGCTTTTTGTCATATCGCTCTTCAACCGACCTACCTGGCATTGTAGGGCCGATTGTTCCAGCCAGTATAGCCCAATTGGTTCATCATGATAGGTGAACCCGACCACTACGTTAAGGTGACAGCAACTGTCGGGAATAAGTTAGAAATGGTCAATCGTATAGCAGTAATCAATAGATTAAATAAAAGGGATATGAATATATAGTCTAGTTATCTAATAATTACCCAATAATAATAGTCCATAAATAAATCCTAGTAGTTACCATTGCTTTATTCTTTGTTCGGATATAACAAAAATATATCTCGTTGTGGAACCACTCAGTCACACTAAGTCCTTTCTAGGCAACTAGTGCAGTGGAATGATTAGTTGAATCTAGAAGAGATAGTCTTATCCCTCTGATTTTGTCTTCTTTCTCTCAAGGATTGCTTTATTTTGAGTAATTATTAGTTATAAATACATTGGAAATTCCCATCGCCTTATTAAAACGTAATCTACCTTAAAAGACTACAATATTTCAGTCGCATTAAAAATATTTATATTTTTAATTTCTTAAACTAATTCCAGGGAATCTATGATTTTTAATACTCAATATTCTAGGTTAACGCAATAGCTAATATGGGCGTTGGCGGAGGTGTTGAAAGTCCAGCTTATTATGAAAATGTTCAATATATGTTCTTAAATATACAAAATATACACGCGATGCGAGCTGCATTGACAAAAGTTTTCGAGGCTTGTTTTCCATTACCAGACGATACACGATGGTTTAAGCAACTGGCTGACTCTAAATGGCTTTATCATATTAAACAAATTATTTTCGCCGCAACCAGTGTAGCTGATAAAGTAAGCTAGATTTGTAATCTGCATTATAGGCTTGATGTTATGTTTAGTGGTATAAATTATTGACACTGAAAATCTTTAAATTCAATCGTGACTTAATATTTTATTTTTCCATTAAAATTTGGTTCTAGATTGAAAATCATAAGACATCTGTGTTAATACATTGCTCAGACGGTTGGGACCGGACAACTCAAGTTACATCTTTAGCAATGTTGATGCTAGATCCGTATTACCGTACAATACGCGGATTTGAAGTATTAGTCGAGAAAGAGTGGTGTTCTTTTGGTCACAAATTCGCACAGCGCACAGGTGGACCTACCGATGGTGGGATTTATTTGCCTCCCAACTCGTCAAGTTCTGTTGTTAATGAAACTGGTGGAGGACGGCCATCAAGTCCCGAGGAGCGTTCCCCAGTATTTTTACAGTTCATTGATTGTGTGTGGCAAACGATGCAGCAATTTCCTCATTCATTTGAATTCAACGAACGATTTCTCATAACAATAATGGATGAGTTATATTCTGCGCGATTCGGAACATTTCTTTTCAATTCAGAAATGCAAGGACGCGACCATGGTGTACGTGAAAGGACTATCTCATTGTGGGCATATATCAATGCGGATATCCAGTTGTATCAAAACCCACTTTATACTCCTGCTGAGATCAGTGGTCATCGTGTGATTTTTCCTCAGCATGCATTAGCTCAACTTCAATTTTGGACAGCTTACTACATAAGATGGCATCCACTCATGCGTTTACAAGAGCCCATAGCACGTCGAGAGAGAGCCTTACTATTGATAATGAAACGATTCAGAGAACTTACAGCTGCCACGCAACGTGAATGTGCTAAACCAACTCTCAATAATGTATCTGGTAACTCAACACACAGTAGGTCCCGTTCAAATAGTTCAAAGATCTAAAAATGTACCCTTCAGCAAATAGCTGACAAATAATTTCTTAATTCGCCAACTCCCAAGACACAAACAACTGAAATGTGATATTATCTTTAATCTCTTTTTACATAATTTAAAATTGATTTTAATTCTTAATACAAAACTGCTACTAGAGTAACTTATTTTTTGGTATTTGGTCATCCCAAAAAAATGTGCTACACCGGGCAGCTAGATTGTCTGGGGCGCCTTGAGGGCGTGCACAAACCCAAAACCGCCTGCCGAGTCGACTACCTTTAGTTGTTTTTAAGTTTTTCACAGTCCTCATGACGCAAGGTTCTTTGTGTCCAAGGCATACAGGAGGTTTCTTCGGCCCTGAAAGAAGATTTCGCCATGCTTCAGTTGACTGAGCTGTTTGAGATGGGTCGTAATTTTTTCTTTGGAGAGTTTCAGTCGTATTTTCTTTACTTGAAAATTGATCATGTATACATGTAGCCGTCTCTATTGGTATAGACTCTGATAAAAAACAGCGTATGAATTAACTGATAATACAGCAGTTTTCTCATTAAATTATCAAAATTGTTTTAAATAATGTTGAATTCGGTTATCAAGTGTATTTAAAGATATCTATGGTTACTCTTTATCTGTGCAACTCAAATAGTATGGAAATAGAGAAATTACTATGTTTGATATAAAATAACTACTTAGATCCCCTAAAATAAGATTCTTCGTCATAGGCATATAACAATCACAAAAATGAATCAAGGACATCTGATTTCCACCTGAGAACTTGATGAACAGTGTTTAGACTAACTTACCCCTAAAGGTGATTTTCGTTTGCCTGAAAACAAGACGTTTATCTTTGGAATGCGAATTTCTTACACAGGATACGGAAGCTTGTGTGTCATGAGAAGTAAAAGGTTGTTTAGTTACTTTGGAATGACTCTTTGACATTACGAAGCTCTCTAAGTCCATTTGCTTCCTCTGACATTGGGGCCAGTAATGAGAGCATTTAGGTGGAAATGAATAGGAAAAAATCAAATCTGAATTGTAAGAATATGGTAGATCTGCATATATTGGGCAATGATCAGATCCATTTATATGTGACATCAAGTCTGCTTGTAAACTGTTATCTGGTATGGTGGTGATAATCTCCACAAGTTTCATGTCGAATAAAATATAATCCAGTCTGACTCCATAATTTGTTTGACGAGCATTCGTACGCGACGACCAACATGTAAAGGCATTTTCTCGATGAGGATGGAGTAGCCTAAGTCATAATCACATGAAGTGAAGAAATTAAACAGTATGTTAAGTCCAAAGTGACTACTGTGGATTAAAACGCCATCCAACTTAATTAAACTACAATATTACTAAAAAGTACGAACGATTCGCATTTTTACTCGATATTTTGGAAGTAATTCATGAGCTCTCAAAAGACTAAAATATTTGTTACTAGAACGCTTCTAGAAATCATTTATTTAAACGACACAGTTTATATTCAAAATCGCACAACTAGTGATTTATTTGAGTCCAAAGGTTTTGGGGACTACACAGACACTAATTAGGGCGATTTCAGACTCATGTATTTACTTAGAACAACCTTATTCATCATATGCAATGATGATTTTCACAAAACACTCCAGTTTGCTGAATTACTTTATGTTTTTAGTGTTTACAGAGCTAATAACTCGGCTGGTTTCGGTAGGTTGCTTTAAAAGAAAAATCCTTCGGGAGTACCTACGAAATAACCACTTATTCATAGATTTTTATTTCGGTATACCATATATAACACAACAAATAACGAAGTAGCCATCCCAATTATTCACTTTACAATCAATATAAAATTAGTCGATATTTTATCGTAGTTATAATCTCTGTTAGAAAACACACTAGAGAGACCATCACCACTTTTATGTAATTTATGGAAGAATGATTTACTCTATCTAGAGTAATCTGCTTTTAGGAATAAAAGAGAGGCGGATTAATGGATGCTTATTCATAGTAGTTTGAGTTTGTTTATATGGTGTGAGCTTGAAAATATTTATGCGAGAAACGTTTCTAGAAAAATATAGTCTACTAATTTCTGGATCCTAAATCCTACTTGTCAGTGATTTTCCATTCCCAGCCAATACTATTATCGTTAGGCGTATATCTACCCGTCTTTTCCTTTGCTGTTTCGAGTCATGCCAGTTCCAAACTATACATTTTCGTGTAAGGTTCTATACTAGTGTGTCTTTCTACTGTATGTGTCTAATTTCCTATGAGTATAAGTGTAGATTGGAATTAACTGGCCATTTCTTACAAAAGTAACCACTTTAAACGTAATAGCATAGTAATAATAATTCGAAATTTACTTTTGAAAAACCTGGTAATTACCTGAAGATATCCACGAATCTTCTTAAACCAACACTGATTTGAGTATTAAGACTTGGATCTTGCTGTTCTTCAATCAACAGCCGATCAAACCACTGGCGAAAAGATTTTGAAGACTCATCCATCTGAATAGTACGCGAAACAAAATTTACATAACTTTTCCAAATAACTCAAACTTATGTACCAATTGTATCTAGAGTATTTAGAACAAAGCCTTAACTAACAAGGTAGTTCTAACGTTGACATGCACTTAGCTATTATTATGGTCATAAAATAACGATTGGAATCTGGGGCTCTTCATTCAAAAGATCTACTTAATAATTAATGTATATTTAAATTCGCTGTTTGTTATGATGGGGTGACTTTGTTTCAAGACAGTTTTAGGTGTGTTGAAAGTTGTCAGTTATGGAAGCTTAATGGTATTTTAGTGTACAATTGCTAGTCATGTAGACATATTTAAACTTTAGTCGTACCATTTAAGGGTTATAAGATACGTTACGTTTAGCTTGTTTCATGAGTTTCACACCAATCACACTCAATTCAAATTTAATCGAAGTCTGGTTTCTCTGCCAATAAATGTATTTATCACTTTATATATAAGTTGAGGAGACTAATTTCTACAACCAAAGACGGGTTTTGGCTGGAATTTCCGCGCATATAGTTAAAAGTTTCTTTGAGGGATTCATACTTTTTTCATTACGGTGGCATCTTACTACTTAGCTAAGATAGTGTACGAATACTGAAGCATCTGACAAATTAAAAAGCATAAGACTTCAAGTGTGCTCTGATTTTTTCTATCAAACATAAGCGATCTCATGCATGTTCGGTAGAACTTCTTACAGTTATGTTAAGTTATTCCCCAATTTTCTGCTTATCACTAATCTGTTGGAATTCGTCCACTTTGTCTTCCATTACTTTTATCCGCTATTTCTATTTGTTCGGTATATATTGAGCTTAATTATTATTGTTTTGATAAAGTTCGAGTGAACAATGAAACCACTCAGTTTTTAATCTTCAAATCACAAGTTCACCACCCATAACATTTAGTTCGGTTTGAGGTCTTGAGTAGTATTACTAACTTTAACACAAACAGCATGCCTTAAGACAAAATAAAAGTACTTGGCACATAAATTAAATGTTCGTAATTACGATTATTACACTTAGTTGACTTACAATAAATTCGTCTGGAGCACAATGATCGATCATTTTGTGACAAATATTAAAGTCCCCAGCAATAACTACGTTGCTGAAATATTACAGACCGAATAAACGAATGTCCTACTTTTCTACTAGAAGTGATTCAATGCAAAGTTGTACAGCAGACTGGAAAAGATGTTTGTAATTCAAACGTTCAACGTTTTCTGGATTTAACCTGGGAAAATATATGGACAACACAATCAGCGGCCGTTTTTCGTCGGGAATTCGAAAGGGGGTAAATATGTCAGTAGAAAACTGGAGACCCAGTACTCTTCCTTCTGCATCCAAGTTACGAGCTTCAGTATGAGTGATATTTAGTTTCGTTTTGAGAAAACTCCATCCATCCGTTGGATTATTTCGGCGGCAAATGGATTCGACAAGTATATCATTTAAGTTATGGAATGTTTTAGTTGGCTTGAGAGGATTACGACAAAAAACCGCAGTACCTATCGTGATGATTAAGCAACGACAAACATACCTGAATATCCTGTCTTGTGTATACTATGACTAAAATAACCATTGTAATTATCCGCAAGTGCGAATTCCCTATTTATATCAGCTTGAATTTCAAAGCATAAACCAATAACATAAACATACGTGTGGTTTTAGTCTCCTGAATACAAATTATATCAGATTTAAGAGAATCTAAAGTAGTTTTCAACGGATGTTGAATAGAGCGCAACCCATTTATATTCCATGAACAGATGCGAACAGGATACATACGAACTTAGATGTACCTGAAAAGGTGTGTGTCATCACTAAATAAAACATATGAATCCGCGTTTTCCTTTTAGCAAAGCACATGATTTATCAAATGTTTTATTTAGTACACTAAAATCGGTAGTGCTGAAATTATACATTGTGAGAATCTCTGAGCACCAAGTCTACCTATTTCGAGGAGAATGTCCGTTTTCGGTACATTTTAGGTAAGCCACAATAGAAAACTTTAGGGGAATGGCACAGAACCACCAAAATCCTAAGCTGCCAACTTTGGGGAAAGTTTAGTCCATTTTGGGGAAGCCGCTATAATAAATTTAGGGGAAATGAGAAAAAAAACCCAAAATTTCCTCAAACATTGGGGAAGGTTTCTCACTTTGGGGATTTCCCCAAAATTCTCCAAAGCTGGCAGCTCGGGATCTTTACAGGCCTGGGGAGAATCCCCAAAGTTTTGGGTTTCCCCCAATATTTCTTTAAGATCTTATGTGTTAGGGAAAACCCTGAAATTGGGCGCATAATTATATTGTCAATACAATGGATGGTTAACTATACATTTTTGTATTTGAACACATCCGTTTAAGATAGGCTGGATACCGAGGGCTTGGTATCTATTATATGTTGAGCAACTTGACGATACTAGATATTTATTCAATCAGTCGCAACGTATGTATATTTCAGTTGTTGAGATCATGAGTCAATTGAAGCTAGACCACCATGGAAAACCTGGAAGCACTATATATATATATATATATATATATATATATATATATATATATTGTCATACCCCGTCAGCACAGAGGGATGAAATCGTTAAACCGAATCCCAAATTAATAAACGTAGTAACACCATTAGTGCTAATAGAAAACGCCAAACATTAGATCCAAGCAACGGTTCGATGTCATTGTCCATTAATAGAGGTCGCTGAGCCCTTGAAGGTCAAATCGTCGTAAGACCATTGGTGCATCACTGATATTTTGTAAGTTTTTCCAGAAGCGGTCAAATCAAAATGGTTCAGTCTGTCTTCAGTTTTCAGTAATAATGATAGTAGGTTGGTGAACCTGTGTTAATCCTGACACATTGCTTTCCAGTGAAGGTTCAGCTTCTCCTTGAAAATGTTCACTGATGGGGCTGATACCACTTGTTCGGGTAAGGCGTTCCATTCATTGATCACTCTATGAAAAAAACGGGATTCCAAGTTTATTAGATCACGGTTTGTGAACCTTCTTGCTATGACCTCGGAGATTATTAGTGCTGGAGGAAGCTAAAAGATAAGAAATATTAACACCCAAATCATAATTAAAGATACGAAATGCCAGTATAAAGTCACCTCGTGTCCTACGATACGACAAAGGGAAAAGGTTTAGGCGTTTTAAACGCTCATCGTAAGGGATTCTGGAAAGACCCTTCACTAATTTCGTTCCCACAGGCTGGAGACGCTCAAGTAAGTTAGTATCCTTCACCAGACACGGGTTAGCTGCTTGGATACAGTACTCTAAATATGTTCTTACGTATATGGGATATAAAATTCGAAACGTTTCCTCGTCAAAAGATTTGAACGCTCGGTGAAGTAACCATAATGCACGAAAACCTTTGACAGCGGCTGCTTTGCAATGCGTAGTTTTTTTTAAATCATGACTTAATACTACTCCCAAGTCTTAATGCTCTTGAATGCATGGAAGAGGTTTACCCTCAATAGTGTAACGGTAACTACTACCGTGACCGATGTGCATTAGCACACTCTTCCCAGCATTGATTTCTAAACCCCACTCTCGAGTAAACCTGAATTTTCGTGTAACGGGAACGGGAGAATACCATCACTACGTTTCACTCGCCGTTTAACATACGAAAACAATAGTTTCGGTCAAGTAAGTCTATCATATGACAAGTGTCGTTCGTTAGCAGTACGGGATTTAGCTATGATATTCTTACAAATATTACGGAATTTTTGGTACTCACGCTTAAATGATGCGTGACCTGTCAACACGAATAAGTCCCAGAAATGTTTCCTACGCCTCAACAGCTTCCATGTCTCCTTATTAATCCATGGAAGGCAGTGTGATAGCTCACGTGCTGATCATGGGATAAGCGGCGACGTTACGGTCTCAAATGTAGCCTTAAACTTATTCCATCCATCTTCGATCAATCCATCCGTGTCGACTGACCAATCAGTCGAGATAGCACAATTTCTGATTGCCGGAATATTGGCTTGCCAGATAATGGGACGGGGAGGAGCAGATACAAATTGTGTCCCATGTGTCCTAAACTTAAATTTAAATGCAACGTGATCACTGTCCACTAGTGGAGGAAGGTGCTGAATATTAAAGACACCCTCACAGCGGTGGGTGAGGGCAAGGTTCAGTAGTGAAAGACCATGTTTCAAGTCCATATGTGTCGGTTTTGTAATACATTGTACAAGTGCACACTGAATCACGTTTGGTAAAAGGTCCCTATCAAAACCACCACCTGGAGCTGTAGGCTCTATCCAGTTGATATGCGGTGCGTCGAAATCCCTAATGATGAGACAGCATTCTGCCATACTCCAAGGACAGATGTGCCTTGAGATAAAGTCGTCAGTAAGACAACACGGGCCACGGTATGTTCCTCCTTTAGTCGTTAACCCATTTTACAACATGATACCTCACATGTACCACGAACATGAGCCTCCGATATGATTGATAGTATACGAAAGTGATCCCTAACGTATAGCATTATGCCTCCCCACTTGCGACTTAAAACTCTATCACTTCTAATACAGATAGGCCAGCAATGAAGGGAGAACATTTTATATCTGCGGTGAACCAACTTTCTGTAACAACAATTATATCGGGACATAATTCATCCACCATCAGACTTGGCTCGGACGTTTTATTTTCAAGACTACGAGCGTTCGTGTAGCACACACTTACGGTGTTTTGGCAATCAATGGTTCTACCCATACAGGCCTCGGAAGCATTGGTTTCCAAAACCTGACTACCCAAAAACTCTTAATAGTAAGGTTATTTTCGCCATTTAATTTGCGAGTCCTCAACTCCGTAAGAGCATTCTTTCACCTGATTCGACCCTCAAGCGGCCAATGTGGTCGAACACAGATATTTGAATCACGAGTTTTCAGTACGTTTTTCAATAATATGTCTCCTTCTTCAAAACTCCCGTGAACCAGCTCCAGGATTCTTCTTGGTTGGGTCTCGCCTCCAACCCATTTACCAAGTCGTATTACTTTTGCAATATGTACCCCTAAAACCTCTTTAGTTACTACATTTCTTACCACAGACTCCACTAACTGCGGGTCATGTACATGTCTTCTAACAGGGTCGTTGTCTTTCGACTACTCTAGATTTCAAGTAATTAAACTAGGGAGGGGTTTAGCTTCTTTTGAAACTGTGTTCACAGCTTTCGACCGTAACGTTAGATCTTGTATTTTAACTACTGGCATCTTACGATTAGTTTTCATTATAACAGAGTCGTGGAAGTCGAACGAGTGACTCACAACAATGTTTGACGAGGCTTTACTTTGGGACTTCGGCAGAGTAGACTGTGGGTTCACGAAGGACTTATCAAGTAAACGGGCATTAGTTTTAGCTATCTTTCCTACTCTTCTGCATTTCCGCGTCATCCACTTTCCATCAGTCGTAGCATCTACAATAGAACAACTCGGGACGGTAATTGGTTTGTCTGAATCACCGGTCGTTGGTGTAGCAACCTAGCCACAAATATCACCTACCACTGTGAGGGTATCTTTGATATTCATCCTAATTATTAATCAAAATGGGTATACAATCAATATATAAATGAGTGTATTTTCTACTAGGGTCGTCATGGTGTTTTGGGGTTAATAAATCATCAGTTACACCAGTCTTTGTGTTCTTACTTTCGCGTCGTGGAAATCTCAGAGTTCCCTCGTTCCGAGTATAAGTAATAAGCGTTTTCGCCATAGCAATCAGCGACGACCAGATACCAAAAGTAGCATAGAAAGAGCCAAGACAATAAGCATTCAAACGACAAATTATAACACTTGTGTCATCTTTATACTGTAGCGGTAAATAAATCCCTAAAATAAATAGCTCTGTAAGTCGTCGACATTTTATGCTGACCACATTAGTCTTAATAGACTAACCTAGCTGGAGGGGCTAGTTTAGGCATTCACACTAGATCACGTGTGGGAACACCGTGCTCAACATCCCCTTCAATCGCCAGCCAGATTAGATCAGTCGATTGTCGATATATTGATAGCCTATCAAATACATCTTCGAACGTCCTCGCTTCTGTAATTTGATTTCACTAGATAGGCACGATTCATAGCAGAAGGTATTAGTGGCTAAGGCATTGTCAAACTCCGAAGACCTGTGGCACCTTCACTATGCAGGAAATAGTGACTGATATGTGTCAATGATAACAGTGGTAAATTATGAGACATGCATCAGGCGTAACTGATCTACGCGGGAAATGGTAATCCATGGGCAAGTGCTTGTTGTTTAAGTCTCGTCTTGAAGCTATCCACTCAGAAGCTGTGGTCATTTATGTTGGGAGAGCATCTCAAGTGGTAGCAACTATTTGTGAAAATAAGTTGGAGTGTACCTGGATATTGGCCCGTTGATGTGTAACCGGTCGAGTATTGCAGCCAGAGGCGTGGACATGGTGCTTCGATAACATGCTCTTGTTTGGATGGCTTGGCGTACTTGATATGTTGTATGCTATTGTCAAACCATGTCCAATTTTCCTGTTGTCAAAGAAGAATGACTCCAGGTGCTGGAGTCTGTCCTCGTAAGATTTGTGTTTTTGAACCGTTTAGGCATTGGGTCCTAACCACACAATCATCAAAGCTGAACACCAGACAATTGGGGAAATAGATGTTCAACATTCAACGCTGAGAAAAACCCAATGACGGAGAAGGTGGAAAAAATGAGTTGAATTAATTCGAGTTGATCGGATGGCATGGCTTGCCCTTGCAGGCGTGGTCTTACTTGTGTTACATTATTGTTATCCATATTAAATACCTCCAGCCTA